GGTGGGGGGTGGGGGGTGGCAGAGGGGACCATGCACAACTAGGCGCTGGGTGGCACTACAGAGGTCCTCCAAAAAGGTTAGCATATCAACAACAGAAGCCACCTAACGAGTCTTTGGCCGAAAACTAAACCTACCCGTGTCATCTAACGATACAAGAGAAAGGATGAAGTCAAGTTAAGACAAGGCAAGACAAGTCAAGTCAATTCAAGTCAAGTCAAGAGAAGTACTTCAACACTTGGCGCGAGGACAGAAAATTGCAAACTTGTACAGATTTACCGCCCCTTTTAACACTGTAAGTTTATTTTTTTAAAAGAGGTGGGACCTCTGAATTTAACGTCCACTTCCGATAGGACCGAACCAAATGAATGGAGGGTCTTTAAAAAATTCCCGTTCAGAACACTCTTTTGGGAATTCAAACCAGAGCCATCCACTCTGTTGTTCAGCATGATAGCAACTCAGAAAACGATGTGCCATACGGAAGCAAACAAATAAGAGGGAAAGAAAATATTAGGTAGGGATTACCAGATGCCCCCCAACTGTCAGCAACAAGTCAGAAAGGCATGGGTTATGAAACATTCAGCAATCGTAGAATGAATGTTAGATGTACACATGTGTTCGCTAGAACTCAATTTTGAGAAAAAGAGACAGCTGAGATATTGAGATAGGGACAAAGCAGGTCGAGTTGTGTGAGAGCAAATCTGGGACATAAAGGGTTTTTTTTTTGGGGGGGAGGGGGTTGGTTCTCAAGTACCTTCAATACAAAACAAGTCATCTGCAAGATATGCTTTTACAGGAATTCTTCAGCAATAATAATAATCCAATTTGCTTTTTAAATTATTTGACCAATCAATCGTTAGATTTCTATTTGATTGATTGATTGACTGGCTGATTGATTGACTTTCACCCCTGGCAGGGTATAGGACCGAACCAAATGAATGGAGGGTCTTTAAACAATTTTTTTTTTAAACTTCCATTTATCTCTGTCCTGAACCATCCTTCCAAGCTCGTTCCAAGTGAGCTTCATTTCTCTCATGTCCCTTTCCACGTATCTCCTCCATGTTTCCCGTTGCCTACCCCGAAGAGACTTAGACTTGGATGATGGTCGAGGCTTCTGCCCATCAGCTTCCTTTCGGCTTTCACTGCCTTGCATCATAAACTCTCCATTCGGAGAAGATCCACGATTAGCCAAGCAGAGATAATGGTTTTTGCATTTTTGTGTTTCTGTAACAGGTTCCTTTTACGAGAGAGGTTGTTAGCCTCGTGACTCAACCCCCGACCTGGAGGCAGGATGACTGTTTCAGGAGTAACTACCTGGTTCGCCATTTAGTCGCCTCGTACGACACGCTAGCACCACGTCAGTCCTATTCTTCTCAATACCGAGACTGCATGGCAGGATTGACTGATTGGTTGGCTGGTTTGTTGGTTGATAGATTGGTTGAGGGATTGGTTGATGAATGGATGGATGGATGGATGGATGGATGGATGGATGGATGGATTTTTCCCGTTTATTTGTTTATATGTGTTAACAACTCACCAATAATGCAACTGTTTGGTCCCCAGAGCGGAGAGATAGCCCGAGTACTGTTTGAACGTCGGCTGTTGAGCAAGACCTGGGAGGTGCTGGATCTGATCTTTGGAAGGCGCGCTGGACACAAGCGCTGACGTCACAGCGGTCAAGAGCAGTACCAGCTCTTTCACACTCCCCAACATGTTTATTCGCATTCTCAGCTTTCGGCGAGCAGGCAGACAACTATCGCTCGTCTGTAACTCTCGTCTTACCTCGGTCTATCTTGAGCCTGGTTGTGAGCAGCAGTCTATATACAAGTATTATCTTTATGTTTTCATCTAAGAGGTGATTTAATTAGACCTACGGCTCTACTTTTTGACTGTCGCATCACGTTGATATTTTTGTCTTTTATCTTTGTACTCTAGCTTGAGTACTATTTTGCGCTAGTCAGCAGACTACTATACTAATGAGCACCGGGTTTATTTTGTTTTTAGTTTAGTTTTTTGAGCGCTCTTTTTTAATATATGTTAGTGCGAGTTTTCTCATTGCATCTACGTTTTGTTATAATTTCAGTTACGGTACACGCAACACAAGGGCTTGTGGGCTATAGGTGCCGAAGATTAGAGGTGTTACAAGATAGTAACAAACACAAAAAAGGAGGAGATGTAAAAGGACAATATGTTTGATTACTTACAAACAAGGAGCTAACCACATCAGAGCACCCACCAACCTCACTCTATGAACGTTTTGAATTATTCGCGATTTGAGTCACCCTATGTTGTTGTGTTGTCTAGCGTATTCGTCGATGTATAGGGCCTAATGACAACAGCCAATCTATTTTAAAGTGCAATAGAACTCTAATGTCATGCAGTCAGAAAACAAGTTCAGAAAAAACACCGTCACGGTGCTTTCTACCTGAGGCTCTTTCTTTGTAGGTCCCAGACAGCATAACCACATCAGCATGATGTCCAGCATTGAGCCGGCAAGTTGGAGACAAGTAGATTGCGATGTAAAACTGACGTTATCCTGACGTCAAATTGCCGAATCAAAGGTGGCCAGCTTATTTCCGACAAACAATTTTTAGACATTCCCATGGGCAGCTGACAAAGCGGCTTCCGCCATCGTTTTTCCGGCACTCATATATGTGACGTAACCCTGCAGGTTCTGTCTGAATTCTTGTCAAAGTCAAAGTGATGGATATGTAGGCTTATTATGTCTAGACTCTTTTAATTTCATTTCTTTATTCATCGCTTTAGGTATACTTAATGTATTGTTGTGTTTTTAGGTGAGATATATATGTTTTCAAACTATTGAGGGTACAAACTGTCGGATCTAACAAGCGAGATTACAGATAGATCTAGAATCTATACTGTCAACGACGAGTATCGAAGAGAGACAGTAAACAGCTATAGTTGCTAAGAGACAGAGTGGCTTCCCCTGACGAAACAGAGAAGACGGTTACATCGTAGTTTCGTAATTTTCGTATTGTTGAATTTGAACTTTACTCTGCTACAATTGAACCTAGCCTATGATGTATGCTTTCCCTACTGTTTGCATAGTTAGCTCTCCTCAGGTTGCATTTGAGTTGGAATTTTTTTACGTTTTCCATTGCGTTGAATTTAAACGGTTCGTATGTAGAATTAGTTTGACAACTTTAATATAATTTGAACTTTCATGGCTGCATATCGGGGGAAAGTGTCACATTGTACGAAAGATAGGAGAGAGAGGAGGGGGAGAGAGAGAGAGAGAGAGAGGGGGGGGGGAGAGGGGGGGGGGGGTTTAGTCTTAGTGAGAGTTTTACAGCACTTACAACACAGGTCAAACAAGTGGGGAATATTAAAGTTGTTACTAGAGAGTAACATTGATAGATGTTTGATTGGCCAGTAGGAGCGAACCACACCAGAGCACCCGCCAATCACCCACAAGGGCGAGAGAGAGAGAGAGAGAGAGAGAGAGAGAGAGAGAGAGAGAGAGAGAGAGAGAGAGAGAGAGAGAGAGAGAGAGAGAGAGAGAGAGAGAGAGAGAGAGACGAAGAGATGTTGTTTGTTGTTTTTGTAAGTGTTTTTCGGCGCTCGCAACTGCATAAGGTCACATGAGCGCGCGGGACACGTTAAACTTTTTCAGTTGGTAGGAAATTTTGAATTTTGCCCGGGTGGCGGCCGAAGCCTACTCTTATCGATTTTAGACCTCCGAGGGATCTTTAACGTGCGCACCTTGCACACGGGCCCTCCGAGATTTTTCGCCATTGTCCGAGAAGGCGAGGTGTAGATCTTTCCTACCAGAAGATCAGGGGTGTGGCTGAAAGACAGCAGTAAGAACAAGCCAAGGAGTAGCAGTAGAAAGAATCGGGAGCCCAGAGGAGGGGGGCAAAGGAGATGAGGGAGTGGGGGCAGAAAGAGGAGACGAAAGCAGACGACAAAACATGGCCAGAGAGCAGGAAAGGGAAAGGAGAAGAAAATTTTTCGGTCACTACCCGGATTCGTACCCGGGACCTTTGAATGAGAAGCCAACACCTTAACCTCTAGGCCACGAGAGCCCCCTAGATGAAGAGAGAAATAGATGGAGGAGGAATAAGTAAACAAACGGACGAATGGTTAAAAACGAAATATGTGATGCAACGTGGTGGAATCAGGCTCTCGTCGAAATAATCAAAGTGAAGAAACGTGCATTTTGCCGCAGGTTTGTGAATTTTTATAAAATTTTTGTTTTTTTGGCTCAACACCTTTCATGCCTATTAAAGAACTGATTTATGTGTGGATTTTTCTGAAAAACGTTGATTAAAGGCACAAAAAATAAAAAATTTCAGTTACAACGGACTCTTAAGCTCTGGAAATTACTAATCTTCGACGGCCATTTTCTCATGAATTTTACCTCTGAAAAAAGGTGACCCCCAACTCCTTCATTCCCAAATATCTCGACTTGTATTCAAGATAAATGAATGTTTTTCCATCCAAATAAAGACAAGTGAACAAGCTTTAAGATGATACCAATAACTCTACTTGCCCAAAAATTGACGTGAGCCTGATTCCACCACGTTGCCTCACATATGAATAGTTGCAACAAACACGAATAACTCTTCTGTGTTATAGGATTCAGCAATAGCTTGAATAGCCTCGTTTATTTTAAGAACTTTGTGTGTGAGTGTGTATATATGTGCGTGTGTGTCCGTGTGTGTGTGTGTGTGTTTTGTGTGTGCGCGTGTGTGTGTGTGTATGTTTTTTGTGTGTGCGCGTGAGTGAGTGTGTGTGTGTGTGAGTGTGTGTGTGTATGTGTGTGTGTGTGTGTGTGTGTGTGTATGTGTGTGTGTGTGTGTGTGTTAATTGCGATTATTGTTCACACATAATGATAAAGACATAATAATGTTTTAGCCCCCGTGGAACCTGGAGAAGAATCACAGAAAATGATGGACAGAAAAGTGGAAAGACATGGAATAACATCTGAAAGTTAGCCCAGGATAGGGAAAGGTGGACACTGTTTGTTCGTGGCCTACATACTGATGCATGGTGGGAAAGGCAATGATCAGTGGCGTCGCGTGGGTTGCAGACAAGGTGGTGCATAATTGGAAAATGAGCAAATGGGCAATAGGCTTAGTGGCAACTACTAAGATTTCTAGAGAAAGTCAATTAGAACCTGCAGGATATCCTGTAATCTACATCAATCGATATTTGCAACTGTGTCTAGATGAAACCCCATAAAAGCTGCAATAAAGTGAAACAATACTAACAACTCACTATGCTCACAATCTGAGAAAATGCAAAGATTTCTAATTACTTATTGCAGCACCAGGACTTGCTACGCAATAGAGAGAGACAACGTCTCGATATCCATTCTTCATTGAGTTACCGTAGACTACTAGTTTCTAGATCTAGTGTAGTAGATAGGCTCGCGGAAACTTGGATCAAAAATTTTGCTTGCACCAAATTATTGGTGCTGCGAAGAGGAGTTTCACGCACCTTTCTTCTTGTGTGGGAAGAACAATGCCTAGATTTCTCTAAAGTGATAAAAATAACTTTGGTACAAAGATTTTGCTTGCTCCCAGCAGACACTACCGCAAGCAGTGCGGCGAGCATGAACCATCCTCGTCGTCTGTCTCTTCACTAGCGCAGCCAGCGGGTGACGGATCGCAAGGATGTGGTAATGTAGATCTGGAGCACTGACTGGTTTAAAACAATTAGAAAGGGGGAGGAGAGGGAGCAGGGGCGGCTCGTGGGGCTAAAAAGTGGGCGTGCACAATTAAGCAACAGCAGTTTGAAGATAGTCAAGGGCATTGTAAATGGGAAGGTAGGATCTTTGGGTTGGTGAAGGAGGATCTTATACTTTTATTTTCATTCTTTTTACTGGTCGCTTTGATTTCTAGAGCTAAATCTATTTGTTAGCTTAACATCAATTTCTTTATCCTGCATTGGAACTGAACTCTCGAGTAATAACTTTCACCACTCCACTACAAAACCATTCAAAGGCACAACTCATGGGGCGGTGACTTAAATATGTCACGTTCATCTCCCTCTGGTTCACGGTCACAGAGTCGCTTAAAATAGTGGCAAGACAATGAACCAATCACAGTTCATTTGAGCACTCCGCTGGATTGCTCCGGGGATCACATAATTTTGGCATTGAATAGTGTACAGGCTATTGCGTTTATTTTTAGACTGCCTACTGTGGGCTATGTTTCGTGGGTGCACATTTGAGATGTGTCGTCTTGTTAATATTAAGGTACCGTTAAACTCGCTACGAGTGTCGTCATCGCTTTGGTTATCCCAAAGAGCGATTTATAGGTCAGATAGCCACTGTTGAATACTCTATACTTTTAGTTAAAGGGCGTGGACTTTGACATGGCATAGTAGATGTTTTACGGCGCTTTTGACACAGAAATGACAGTTATAGCGCCAGCGAGCACCTTGTTTTGATATTATATTTGGCTAGTGTTTTTTCTTACTTCTTTTATTTCATGTTTGAGGGTGCTTTTCGTAATAGAACATAACAAAATTTTGGGCGGCACTGCACGACCGTGCTCTATGGACGAACCGCGCCTGGGAGGGAGGGGTGACGGCCAGGGTTAGGTGGAGCGCTTGCACCAATGGCGCCCCGCCACTGGCAATGATGATGATGAAGAAGAATTATTAAATTGCATAATTTATGTAGCGCCTACCCATGCTTTACAGCAAGTTCTCTGCGCTTTACAGCTATATGTGGGTTTACATTAATACCCCAGCACACACAAGAACGCCCAGAAACATTCTTGACTTCCCTGGAAGCACACGCAGCCGATAAATCTCTCAAACTCCAACACTAACAAACTGAAAAGATCTTTCACTGACTTTTTTCTTTAGCCGACAGTACCTATTCCCACCTTGGTGAAGGGAGGACAATAAGAGTAAATGACGCCTTTCCCAAAAATAAAACACGGGTAGGCCTCCAAAATATGTATACAAAATCCAATATGGCCGCCGTTTCCATAGCAACCGAACCAGATTTGCCTTTTTTAACAATAGATTTTAAATCCCCAATGATACATGATGTCCCACAGAAAAAAGAGCTCTCAAGGGTTTGTGTAATAGCCGAGATAGCCTTCAGGTGCCCCACCAGCCCTTAAGGCAATAAACTAAGATAAGTAGAGTTCATAGGGTGGAGGCTAAGAGGCTTTGAGTGTGAGCGTGAGGTAGTCGTAGCGTAGACGTGGGGTAGAAAGGACGTAGAAACTTTTGTGTGTGCCTTCTAAGACAAAGAAGAGTGAATAAACTACAATTCTTGAACTCTGTGTTTGTTTTATTTCAAGTAGATCTATAGGCTACCTTAACCCTATTCGTACGTCGTGTTTTACTTTTTTACTTTTACTATCATATCCATACGACGTGGGGAACTCTGTGCCACCACTTTCCAAAGAGAAAATTTACTCGTTAATCCGATCCGTACGTTTTGCATAGCAATCTGTCGAAACGATATTTTTAGAAATACTGAAATTTTCAAATAAAACTTCGTACTAGAAGTATTCTAAAATGTGAAAAATACAACCCCGGGAGTAAAAAAAAGACCCCAAACCGTACGGATAGGGTTCCACACAAGGACACCACAATTTATCTCAATGGTGCGCCTCTGATAAAACTGAAAGTCATTCCCGAGAGGGTGTTGATATCTCTAATCATAGATCTGATAGAATTTATCGGACCACATGATTTGAAGAAGGGACAGGTATCTGTCAAAATGAGTTTGCACCCTCTATTCTATCCCGTGACAAAACAATTAAAGTTCATGTACCTTTACTGAACGTGGCTGCAGAATCTGAGCTATTTTCTTTCGGAGAATGTTTGTTATGGTTGAGATAAAAAGAGAAGTTTAAAGACTCGATACAGGGGTCATTCAGTGCTGGGGAAATGTCTGATTTCAACTAACAGTAACACACACTCTCTCTCTGTGTGTGTGTGCATGCATTGGGTGTAGTACCGCGTAGGCTGCCAAGAAAGGCTCTCCGTCTGTCTCTGTTCTGGAAGATCCCTTCTTCCTCAAACTAGCTGTGCCCT